TGCAATCCCGCTGTCAGGCCAGGGAATGGACTGGGGGAGAAGAGGGGGATAATTAGCATCGTGTTCAGTAAGCGTTTGTGAGCATGACAGCAATCATTTACACCTTAGTGTGAATAAATGTGTACACTTATTTTAACAGTAAACTTCGCTGGAAAGCAATATGGAAGTTGGAGGACCCCGAGGACTTTGGGCATGGGAAATTGTGGCGCAAACGGAAAGAAATTCTTTGCCTTGTTGATAATTCTGTGGACGATGCCCTCGTCAACAGTAGCTGAGTTAGTGCCTTCCCAGGGCTCCATTCCCTCATCAGTGTTATAACAAGACCTAACACTTGTTAGTGCTTGACAGCTTGCAGTGTATTTCAAAAGCACTATCTCATTCAGCCCTCATTGCAACCCCCTGAGAGTTGCTACGAAATACTGATCCTCGGGGATTATTAGAAATAAAGAAATTGGGGGACGGGAGCGGGCTGGAAGAGGTTAAGGGGGGGAAGACCTATGTAATACTTTCAACAATAAAGGTGTTTTTTTTTTAAAGAACTAAAGAAATTGAAGCTCATTATAAAAAAAAGAAGAAATGAAAACTTTCCCACAAAGAATCTGAAAGTAGCAAGGCCAAGGTTCAGACTCAGTGTTCATTGTTTTATCTATTTTGTTCATAAAATATAGAAATAGGGCCCTGACCAGTGTGGCTCAGTGAATAGAGCATCAGCCCGCAGTCCCAGGTCTGATTCCAGTCAAGGGCATGTACCTTGGTTGTGGGCACATCCCCAGTCGGGGGCATGCAGGAGGCAGCTGATGGATGTTTCTCTCTCATCGATGTTTCTGAATCTCTATCCCTCTCCCTCTCTAAAAAAAAAAAAAAAAATTAATAAAAAATATTTTTTTAAATATGCAGAAATAAGCTTAGAAAGTTGGAAGAGTTTCTTTGAGCTTAGGGAGGTATGTTCTCTGTAATGGAGCCCCGCACCCGAGAAGCAGTCTCCGGATCAGTACTCCCCTCCTGGCTGGGAGCCGGAGGCCGGCTGTCCATCCCCAGCAAGGTAGCCAACTTCACTCTGGGCTGGGACCCGGGTGAGCCAGCCTGCCCCTCACAGGAGTTGATTCTCCCCCATGCAATGAGACAGAGAGCCCTGTGCCTTTTTATAGATGGAATCTGAGGCTGCGTGAGGTCACCCTGCCGGAATGAGGTAAAGCCGGGCTAGAAACCCAGTCTCGGTGCTCCAGAGTATGCACGCCGCCAATCACCGGCCAGGACTCTGGGAGGACGGAGGAAGCCCTGCCTTGGGGACGGGGCCAAGCCAACGGCAGCATCCGCCCCACAGACAGCTGCAGGGGGCCGGAAGGCCAGCGGGAAGTCCTCTTGCAGGCGCCCTGTCAGCAATCGATGGCCAAACGTAGCACAAAATCTGTCCCCAAGATCTCTAATCTCGGTGGCACTGGAGCACAGTAGCTGCTGATTAAAGGTGTACTAAGAGCTGCTGAATGAGGAAGGAGTCTGTGTGAGAGCCAGAAGATGGGTGTGGGCTGGAAAGGCGCCCTCCCAGCACAGCTCCTCTTCACCCTTTTCCTTGTGGCTGTTGGTTGGAGCACAACATGCCCTGTCCCCTCTCCCCTCCAGACCCCTTCCTGGACTGAACCACCCACGCATATGATACAGACCTCCCCCCCTCCCCCCCCCAACCCCCCCGTAGGAGCAGGCAGGGAGCTGGCTGGCCTTGACGTCAGCTCTGGCCTCTCCCCAAGCACCAGGCACACATCTGCGTGTGGCCCACAGGCCCCTGCGTCCTTCTCCACATCTCTGTCCAAGGAGGCCCACAGGCCCACCCGTCCTTCTCCACATCTTTGCTGGGTGTGGTCCACAGGCCTACAGCTTTCCACATAATCTCAATGAAGATTTGTCATCTTAATGAAGGCATGCCACCTCTTCCGTTACCCAAACTGGAGGTGTCAGAGTTATCTCTAGCAGCTTCCCTGCTTACTCGTCACCACATCCTACAAAATCTCTCCTGGCTCCTTGCTTCTCTCTATGCCCCTGTCAGTGCCCTGGTCTGAATCTGGGCTCTTGTACTTGGATCACCTGCAAGCTTCCCCAGATGTCCTTCTCAAATCTATGTCTCTACAGGCCCCCTGCCTTCCTGGCTCATTTCCCACCAAGAGCAACTCCCACCGTGTGTTCAGGCCTATACAGGTTTGCTCCAACGTGACTGCCTCCCTGGTTCCTACCATTCTCCTCCAGAACCCCCTACACCCACCCAAAACCCCCTACACCCACCCAGAACCCCCTACACCCACCCAGAACTCCCAATCCCACCCAGAACTCCCAATCCCACCCAGAACCCCCAATCCCACCCAGAACCCCCCCAATTCCACTCAGAACGCCCAATCCCACCCAGCCCTTCCAGACACGCCATCACTGTCTGTGCCTCTGGTCTTCCGGAAAGCAGTGCAGAACAGTCACAACCACCCCACACACCATTCACCTCACTCAACCTTGGCTCTTTCCGAACACCTCTTAGCAAAATCAGGTACTTGCTCTTCCCTTTGCAATTTGTATTCATATGTTACTGCTAACATAGGACCTCATTCATTCATTCAGCCCCTAGCAAGCCTTCTAGCAGCGGAGGCCTCTCTAGGCCGTAGGAATAAGTGAACGAATAGCACCCATTGCCCTGGTTGCTTAGTGATGTGATCTTGACCGTCACTGCTCCAGGTCTAATACACGGCATCTCAGGCATGGATATGCTGCCTTATCCATAAGGTGTCAACAAATCAGAATGGTTGGGGAGCTGCACTACAGACTATTGGGCGCTACTAGATCATTTTTATTTCGTTAGAAGTAATAATGTCACTACGGCGTATAGTATATATTTCTCTGGAGATGCAAGTTAAAGGACTTTATGTGAAGGGGTTCAAATAAAAATATACATAAAAAGTAAGCAAATATGTTGGAATATTAACAGTGGTTGGATCCAGGCACTGGGTGTAAGGGTGCTCATGTAATGTCTTTATATTTGAAAATGTTCACAATAAGAGGTTTTTTTAAAAAGGTGCATTGACTTGAAATGACTGGATCTATTTTCTCATCTACCGTATCAAATTGGGGGAGGGGAAGTATCTTAGCCTGATCCGCCTGCTCTAACAGAATACTGTAGACGGGGTGGCCTGCAAACAACAGGAATGTATAGCTCACAGCTCTGGAGGCCAACAGTCCCAGCCCAGGTGTCAGCATAGGCAGGGCTGGTGAGGACACTCCTCTGGGTCACTGCTGGCTGTCTCCTCGCCATGTCCTCCCGTGGCTGAAGTGCGAAGGACCTCTCTGCAGCCGCTTTTAAAAGGTGCCATTCCCATTCCCAAGGGCTCCACCCTCACGATTTAAGCACCTCCCAGAGGCCCCTCCTTCTACTGCTATTACCTTGGGCCTTGGGATTGGAGCGGGAGTGGGGAACACAAACCTTCAGGCCACAGCAGGGTGTCCGTGGGGGGCAGCTGACACTGGTGTCCAGCCCTCGTGGCGCTGGGCAGGAAATGCCCCCTAAGAGCCCTGGAGCTGGGCGGTTCCCAGCAGGCCCCTTGGGGCCCAGGATTCTGGGAGGAAATTGCTTTTGGCTTCAACATTCCTGCAAGTCCAATGAGGCTTGTTGGCACCGTGACCCTGACGGGGAAGAAGTGTGTGCCTGTTTCTGAGAGTTCAGTGCCGGAGCAGGAAAAGCAGAAGTGGGCACGGTGTAAGCGATAAGTCAGTGAGCCAAACCAAGCTGCGTGGGGAGAAGTGAGCTCAGAGAGCACGGCTCGCCATAGGCAGGTGGTGCAAGGACCCGTGGAGCCAATCACTTGCTTATGTGCGGGAGGTCTGCATCTTTTTTTAAAAAATATATATTTTTATTGATTTTTTTATAGAAAGGAAGAAAGACGGATAGAGAGTTAAAAACATCGATAAGCTGCCTCTTGCACATGCCTACTGGGGATGTGCACGCAATGCAACCAAGGTACATGTCCTTGACCAGAATCAAACCTGGGACCCCTCAGTCCGCAGGCCGATGCTCTATCCACTGAGCCAAACCGGTTTCGGCCAGGTCTGCATCTTTTAAAGGGCAGGAACGAAGGGTCTTTTCCAACCCTTAACTGCTCAGGAGACTTCTGCCTCGCTGTTGACATTAAGGGTTCTATTGGATCCCCGAGAAGCGCCACCCCTACCCGCCTTCTCCAGAGGTCTGAGACTTGCAGAACTGTACCTCCCAAAGGGACATCTGTGCAAGAAGGAGATGGATAACCCGTCCGCCCGCCCCCCCCCCCCCCAAGCCCTGGCTCGGTTCCCTCTTTCCTTCCTTACTCTGAGCAAGCCCCTTGCCTTCAGCTAAAAGATTGTCCATGAAGCCCACACGGTTCCGTTACTCCTTCATTCTGGATGCCCTTCTCACTGCCCAGGGATGTCCAGAGGCTGCCGGAGGCGACCTAACGGGAGGGAAGGAAGCCAAGGCGCCTTCAGTGTGTCTGAGGTCTGCAGCAAGGTCCTCAGCTCTGCAAGGAGCTTAGAACCGCGCGTGGGGGCCCGGGCCCAGCGCTGGCTGTACGCGGCCTGGGGGTCCCCAATGCGCGCCCTGCGCCTCCCTTTCCGCGCCTGCGGCCGGGTTTGCACAGCGCCTCCGCCTTCCCGCAGCCCAGGCCGTCCTGTCGGGGCTGAGGCTGTCCTCCGCGGCCCCAGCCTCCGGAAAGCGCAGACACAGAGGCCAGCAAGGGGCCAGGGAGCATCGCGGGTCCGGGGTCGCCGGCGCCGTCCCCCGCGGGGCCGCGGGGAGCCGCTCCCTGGAGGGGCCGAGAGGTCTGGGCCCGGCGCGCTCCCAGGTGGCTGAGCTGCGACCTTCGGCAGAGGCCAGGCCGTTGCCAAGCCCGCGCCCTCGTGGCCAGACCGGGCGGGGCGGGGCGGGGCGGGCGGCGGCGGCGCTTTAAGAGGCGGTGCGCCCGGGGGAGGCCGCTGCCCGCCGGCGCCGAGCGATGGAGATGGCCCGGGACTACGCGGGAGCCCTCATCAGGCGAGTCCCGCGTCCGCAGGCTGAGCCCCGCGCCGGGAGCCCCGCGTCCGGGGCGCCCCGCAGGCTCCTTTCCCGGCACCCCGTGAGCCCTCATCCCCACCCCTCCGCGACCTCTCCTACATACAGCCCACGCGCCCTCACCCCCACGCTCCCCAGACCCCGGCTCCGCGCTTGCCCCGCTCCCCGGGCGTCCCCCGCCTCCAGCCGCGGTGCCAGCTGTGGCCCCGGTGCGCGGGCGGCCGCGGAACAGGTGGCGGCGGGCAGCGCGCGGGCGGCCGCGGCTCGTGCTTTAGCTGCGGGCACCGGGGAGGGCGCCGTCCCGGGACCCAGGGCAACGCTCCCACCGCGGTGCGCGGGGCAGAGCTGCTCGGGGCTGGGGCGTGGGGAGGAGCGCTGGCGGGGCGCTCGGCGGCTCCGGCGGCCCAGAGAGCTGGGGTGTGGGGAGAGCGCGGCTGTGGCTCCAAGTGGGTGGGGGTTTGGGGGTTGGCTGGCCCCCCGCTCCACTGGCCCCCCGCTCCTGGCCTGGCTCCACTCCTTTCCCTGTCTTGGGTTTCTTTTCACATCCGGACATACAAACCAATCCTTGCTGCTAAATCCTAAAGATTCTGCGTGGCGGTAGCTTTTATAAATTTAGAGGAGAGATCATGTTTCTCCGAAGATTTAAAGTTTTTTAAAGAGGATGGAAAAAGCCTTGCGGATGGATGTTAACACGCGGGTTTTCAGAGATAACGGGTCCCATTTGTGCCAAGGGGTAAGGGCAGGCTGAGGGAAAGGGAAGGGAGAATGGCTTTACAAAACCAGCCTGACCCAGAGGCTCCGAACCTGGGTCCTCACGCAGCTGTGTGTAATCCTGACGGTTGTAGAAACAGCTGCCCAGATGTGCGGGCGATCAGTCTGCCCTGTGCTGGCCTTCTCTTAAAACAGACAGACAGATAACAAAAAGGGAAGTTACGTGGTGGGATCCCCGGGCGGTGAGAAACAGACTTGACTCGGGCATCTTCCCTAACATGGTGTAAGCATGCAAGTGAAGCCCTCTGCTTCTCACCTGTATTTCTTCTCTCCCCAGCACCACACTCCCACTGCCAGACCTAACAACTGGGAGCAGTTTGGAGTGAATCCTCCAAACCTTTCTCCCAGGAGCATCCAAACACCCACTCTCCAAGTTCCTGGGGGCGCTGGGGAACTGGTGGGCTGTTAGGGGTGGGTGAGAGGGCGCTGGCATCGCCTGGGGCAGGCAGAGGAGGCCACACCTGCAGAGCTGGGGCTGGCCCTGCCCTTGCCCCTGACCCCAGCAGCAGGGTCCCCAGACCCAAAATGTATCTGTGTGAGGTTCCCACTGGGCAAGGTGAGTGGTGGGAGCCACTGGCTTATGAAACGTTGGCAAATCAGAGCATCAGGAAATAGCTTATCTCCTGCAACATGTTCCTGCTGAGCTTGGCAGGCTCTTGCTGGGACTGGCTACTTGTTGCCACAGTTCTTGGGACTCAACCTGCTTCCCAATCGAGCTACCATAATTCTTTGGAATCGACCTGCTTCCAAACTAACCAGGAAGGAACCCAACTGTGATGCTTGTTGAAAGGAACACACTTTTCTTCCTGGTCTTTCTGAAGAGCCACGGCCACGCTCCAGAACCATGGAGCCAGGTGCCTGCCCCATGTGTAATCACGGTCTCGCAGGACCTCCTCTCAATGCACCTTCATTTCAACTAGCTGGTAGAAGGTGTCCCGACTCCGTCTTTTGTCAGCAAATAGCCGAATTTTGCCAAGGAAGGAACCTAATCACACCTTCTTCAAAGATCAGCGATGTGGCCGGGACCAGTTTGGCTCAATGGATAGAGCGTCAGCTTGGGGACTGAAGGGTCCCGGGTTCGATTCCGGTCAAGGGCATGTACCTTGGTTGCGGGCACATCCCCAGTAGGGGTGTGCAAGAGGCAGCTGATCGATGACTCTCATCGATGTTTCTAACTCTATCTCTCTCCCTTCCTCTCTGTAAAAAAATCAATAAAATATATTTTTTTAAAAAAGATCAGCTATGTATAGGCAATGATCAGTTCTTAATGATCAATTATAGTAGCCAGTCATTACTAGTTCCTTAACCCCGTGCAATCACTAAGGCTGCCGTCAAAATGAAAGCAGCCTGAAGTCTCGTAGTCTGGACTTCACGGATGTCTGCGGTGTGTGCTGTCCCAGAGAGCCCGCCCTGTCTCTGTGTCTGTCCGTGATAGCATTCATGCCAATGTGACGTTCTTCTAAAGCCGATGTATCATGGTTTGCGCAGAACCGCTGATTTTGTAGCTGTTTTAGGACATCTTTCCTTTTCGTGAACAAGGAGCTCTCTGTCCAGCTGCCACTGCAGTACAAACTTCCGCCACAGCAGTCTCAGGGTCAGAGGCACGGAACCGAGTTTCCTGCAAGTACATTTCTTCGCTCACGGAGGCCTCGCCAGAGCCGACGAAGATTTCCCAAGCTGCCTCATTCTCTGCGTCCCTCTATTTGCCATCAATACCTCCCTTCTTTTTTTTTTAAGTATATGTTTATATATTTTATTGATTTTTTACAGAGAGGAAGGGAGAGAGATAGAGAGCTAGAAACGTCGATGAGAGAGAAACATCAACCAGCTGCCTCCTGCAACCAAGGTACATGCCCTTGACCGGAATCAAACCCGGGACCCTTCCGTCCGCAGACCAACGCTCTACCACTGAGCCAAACCGGTTTCGGCAATACCTCCCTTCTTAACACTGGCTTTGGCCGTAGTACTCAGCTGACTTATATCCTACCCCTGTCTGGGCTTCACTACTTCATACGGATTCCTCTTTTTCCACCTAGCAGCGAAGTGTGGGGTTCCCTCAGTCATTGTCTCTCTGAATAGTTCCTGGGCAGTGCCTTACCCTCATCACTGCTGACACCAAAGTGTTTCTCTCTGGCCGTGAGAAACCTTATTCCTGACTCTGCCTTCTCCTCCGGCGCTTTCAGAATGAACAGCAATCCACGGGTGCCATATAAAGACTCTGTCTTGGGGCCTGTGGGATTCAGCTTTGTTTTACTGGAGTCGAGCTCACAGCCGAGGTCCGTGTGTTTGTTGCTCTATTTCACACACTTGGATAGGTTGAGGACACCTCAGTTCCCTTGAGGAAAAACCCGAAGACTCTCTGTTTTTCTCACTTCGGGAAGATATGTCCCTTCACAGTTTCCAAGATTAATTCCATGAAGTCTGGCTTCTCTTATGGACTTGATTTCTCCGAAATGATCTATTTCCTTGAACAGCAGAGCATATTTCCTGGTGCGTGTGTTTCCTCTTAGTCCGCTGTTTCCCTTCCTGCTTCCTATGACTGCCCGCGCTGTCCCAGGAGCGCGAGGTGACCGAGGCCTGCTGGACCTGAAAGCAGAATTCTCAGGCTGCTAGTGCTCGCGTTTCAACATTGACATATTAAGAAACTGAGGGGGAGGTGGCAACATATTGTAGGCCTTGTGTTACTGGCCAGGGATGTAAATTGTTCTACTGAGAGAGAACCAAAAATGAGTTAGATTAATATACAGGGTGGGGCAAAAGCGGGGTTGTAATTGTTTGTATGGAAAGTAATACAACAATAAATAATAATGCAAGAATATACTCTGTTTCCCATGCTCACAACTGTAAACCTACCTCTGCCCCATCCTGAGTGTCTTTGCTCACGTGGTAGCCGGTTCACCCTGCTGTCCATTGAGCTGCAGCAGATAAGCACTCCTGTAGTATTTGTTAAGTAGGTTGAATGTGTGTAAAATTTCAGTTAACCCCTTTTGACGTTGTATATAAGGCAGCCTTGATTTTTGTATAAGTTGGCACATCAAATCACTCACCCAGTTCCTTGAAAAGAAGGGAAGGATTTCATTTTCGTGTCTTCAAACATTTTTTTTATGTGTGCTCTCTAAGCCTTCTCTCCAACAATGACCCGGTTCTTGTGTAACAGGTAAGAAGCACAATAGCTTGTATGTTGTTTTAATAAATCAAAGATGACTATCTCGAGGGCAGCGTGAAGAGGGAGGACCAGAAGGGACTGCCAGTTGTTGCCTTGTCAGAAGCTAAAGGACAACAAGAACTTGGTATAATCAGCTGTGCTAGGTCCCTGGAGCCTTGGAGCTCACTAAGGTGTGAGCGTTTGTGTCCTATGGGGAGATATGGGACCACGACAACGATGTCAAAGCTGTTCGCGCCCACAAGACGTGCCATTGGCCACCAGGGCCGGGACCTAACCTTCCAAGACGTGAACTTTGTTCTCCCATGTCTCTGATTTTGTCCCAGCCTGTCTTTTACTCAGTGACTAGGTCATGTGCCAGCAGGGGGCGAGGTGCTGTGGGGAAATAAAAAATGTACAAACAGTCTCTGCTCTCAGTTGGCATAGATTCTAGAAGGCCTCGTGGGCAATGGCAATGACTGGCCACTTTGGGTGAGAAGAAGCTTGCCGGTGAGGGTCCGGATCCCCTCGGCTGTAGGAGGGCTTGTACCCGGCAGGGCAGACCATGGTGGGAAAGCGCAGCTGGATTTGAAGCCCTGTGCTAGCACTTTCCAAATGTGAGCTTACTAATTTCTTTCTTTAAAATATATTTTTATTGATTTTAGAAAGGAAAAAGAGAGATATAGAAACATCATTGATGAGAGAAATCATTGATCAGCTGCCTCCTGCCTAACCCCCCATGGAGATCAAGCCTGCAACCCGGCCATGTGCCCTGACCAGGAATCGAAGCGTGACTTCCTGGTTCATAGATCAATGCTCAACCACTGAGCCACGCCAGCCGGGCTGATCTTATTAATTCCTTAATGTCCTGAGCCTCCGTTTTCCTCACCTGTAATGCTTGTTCTGTAGAGCTGTTAGGCAATGAGCTAAAGATACAGTATCTGGCACCGAGTGGAACGTGGGTCTTGCTCTCTCTCCTTCTCACAGGACTTAGCCAGTGAGTTTAAGCTTCAGATGCAATGTTTAGGTTGAGAACAAAGCCAGGCTCTAAAGGTAAAGCAAAATATGGATCGTCCTCGCCGCCCTGCCCTCTTCAGCATCAGCTCAGCAGAATGTGGCATGTTGTTCATCGTGTTGCGTAACCCAGAGACCTGGTTTAACTCCTGAGAATCAGGGCAAAGGTTCGGAGGCTGATGCCAGGCCCACTGCTGCCTGGGCTCCGGCTCTGACTTTCTCAGGGTCTCTTGTCCTTCTGGTGGGGAGCCCCATGGAGACCCTGACCGGGCACCATCCCTCGCAGTTGCTCCCCGGAAACAGAGGAAACAGAGGCTCTGGTGGCCTAAAGGGAGAGGGGCCGAGTGGGTGGATGGGAACCTGCCTCCTTCCAGTTCTTCCTCTCCTGCTTCCGACTGATGCTTAGTGCTTGAGGTCTGAAGTTCAGAGAGGTGACGTCCCACCTCTTCCTTTGTAACTTGGGTGTGCCTGAGAAGCCACTCTGAGCCTCAGTTTTCTCACCTGAGAAGTGGGTTATACTTAGCAGGTGCTCAGATACGAGCACTGATGAGGCACTAATGCGATGCTGGCTGGGTTTATTTCAGGCCCAATGCCTGCTAATAATCCAGGCTGTTCCCAGAATGCCAGGTTGTCGATGAGGCATTGGGGGGGGTGCAAGCCACTCACTCTCAGAGGCCCCTCCTGAAACTGCAGGTAGCAGGGACTTAACTGACAACGTTGGAAAACTGGTTCCTTGCGATACAACCAGTTTTTCATAGAGCAACTTACTTGGTGCGCCACTGAACTCCCACTTGGGTTCATTTACAGAACTTCAGTTGAGACAACATACTGCGTAAAAGCTCTACGCCTCGCACTAAGCTGGGGATCATGGGGGATGCAACAAAGAAGGCTCTGTCCGTAAAGAAATGCCAATCTAGTCGGGGAAATAAAACAGATAAATAAATGACTCTGTGTGTGTGGGTGTCTCTTTAGAGACGCTCTGAAAAAGTAATGTCCAATATATTTTTTAATTTTCTTCTCCATTTCCAGGCCCCTGACTTTCATGGGTTCACAAACCAAGAAAGTCCTACTCACTCCCCTCATGCAGTCCCCTCGCCCCTTCCGAGTCTCCAACCACAACCGAAGCAGCCGGCGGGGAGTGATGGCCAGCAATCTGAAGGATCTGCTCACCAAGGTACCACCAGCGCTGTGCCTCCCCACCTGTGCTCAGAAGGCCCAGGCTCATGGGTAGTGAGCCAGTGCAGAGACGGAAATGTCCATGCCGTGGCCTTGAAAAGCCTGGGGGGGGTGGGGGGGGACCATTTCTGAGTGAAAAGGTGAAAGGAAACATTATTGCATTTTTGTACCATAAGAGATTTAGGCACAGATGCCAAAACCGGTTTGGCTCAGTGGATAGAGCATCGGTCTGCGGACTGAAGGGTCTCAGGTTCGATTCCGGTCAAGGGCATGTACATTGGTTGCGGGCACATCCCTGGTGGGGGGTGTGCAGGAGGCAGCTGGTCGGTGTTTCTCTCTCATCGATGTTTCTAGCTCTCTATCCCTCTCCCTTCCTCTCTGTAAAAAAATCAACAAATGTATATTAAAAAAGAGAAAGAGAGAGAGATTTAGGAACAGAGACAGAAACCTTAATAAACAGCCATCAGTGGATAATGTGGCTTTATTGACTTGACAAGAGAAAATAGAGGGAGGCAGCAGACTTTGGGAATCTGTTTTTTTGTTCTAAAAGCCAGGGAAGAATCATTCCTAAGTGACCTAGATCACCTGATAAGGAAGATTCTCAGGGAGGCTTAACCTAGGCGCAGGCGCCCGTGCAAAGGAGAAAAGCATGCACCGTGCAGCCTCTGACTAAGAGAGACATTCAGCTGTGCCATGCAAGACCCACGCTCCTTAAATATCACAGGCGCAAGGTTCTTCTTTTTATTGGTCAAAATAAATAGGCGATTTGAGAAACTCTAAGTATTATGAAATGTAATCATATACCTCATGTCATTGAAATCTCTGAAGAGGATAGTCCCCTGGAAAATCTTAACTTCTTTTCCAAGCCAGGACTGAATCATAGACCCCCCCATCAAAGTCTATCGTGACCATTAACATTTTATCGAAACCAGCCAGCGCTGCTGAGACTGTCATGTAAGCCAGGGCTGTGAGTGGTCAAAGCGGAATCCCCGCTCATTCCGTGTCTCTGATGTGTTGTCCTCACAGACCCTGGACGCCCTGCTCATCACCAGTGGGCTGGTCACTCTGGTGCTGGAGGAGGACGGCACCGTGGTGGACACGGAAGAGTTTTTCCAGACCTTGGGAGATAACACGCACTTCATGATCTTGGAGAAAGGCCAGAAGTGGACACCGGTAAGCAAGCACACTCTCATCCAGCTACTGGGTAGAATTCTTACCCACGAAAGTGAGTTCCCTACTTTGGTGTTGACTTGCCCACTTTTAAAATAAATCCTTTCTACTGCCCTCAAAGCGATTCTTATAAATATTTCTAGGAAATGTAGCATCTCTTGGACGTGGGCTGTTTGACTTAAAGCAAATAATTCTGAGGGACAAGCTTTGGGCAGCAAGTATCTACGATCCTATTAAAGCCTGTAGATATGGCCCTAACCGGTTTGGCTCAGTGGATAGAGCATCGGCCTGCAGACTGAAGGGTCCCAGGTTTGATTCCAGTCAAGGGCATGTACCTTGGTTGCAGGCACATCCCCAGTAGGGGGTATGCAGGAAGCAGCTGATCAATGTTTCTCTTTCATCGATGTTTCTAATGCTCTATCTCTCTTCCTTCCTCTCTGTAAAAAAAAAAAAAAAAAAAAAAAATCAATAAAATATATTAAAAAGACAAAAAAAAAAAAAAAGCCTGTAGATATGACCTGTCTCTCCTGAGGAGGCCAGCAAGCCAGTGAAATTAGGTGTGTGTGTATGTGTGTGTGTGTGTGTGTGTGTGTGTGTGTGTGTATGTCTGTGTGTGTAAGAAAGGGACATCCTATGAGGCCACACTTTTTATTGGAGCCAGAATCCTGAAAGGAAAGCAAACACGGAAGCTGGCTCTCCCCTCCGGGTGTCTCACCTATGACCCTCCGCTGACCTCAGTGACTTGGGGCTTCGGTTTGATGGCTGCTCAGAGGACAGGAAACAAAGTCTTGGGGGGTAACAGAAAGGGAGTCAGGCTATATAACAAAGAGGATGTAACGGTTTCTCCTGAGCATCTGGCAGACAGCTGTCCCTATTGCTTATAGGGACTATTGATTCTAAAATCACCCAAGCCGAAAGTTTCATTTACAGAGACCCAAGCAGGAAGCATCAGAGGGAGGAATTTATTCATTAAATTCTCTTCATTCAAACAGCCTCTCCCAGCAGGCCTACTGATCCAGGGTTTCTGGTCCCATGTAACCAGCAGAGCAAATAGGCTCAGAATGGACATGGACCGAGACCAATGGTCAGCAAACTCATTAGTTAACAGAGCCAAATACCAACAGTGCGACGACTGAAATTTCTTTTGAGAGCCAAATTTTTTAAACTTAAACTTCTTCTAACGCCACTTCTTCAAAATAGACTCACCCAGGCCATGGTATTTTGTAGAAGAGTCACACTCAAGGGGCCAAAGAGCCGCATGTGACTTGTGAGCCGCAGTTTGCCGACCACGGTCCTAGGCCACAGGGAATCTTTGTTCCTAAAGTTCCAACAAACATAAATTTACAATAAAACATAAGGACTCCAGGCACTAAAAATGAGAGGAAGCAGAAATAACAAAGTCAGGCCTACAAAACCTCAGATGTGGGATCATCAAAGACAGTGTAAAATAGCTATACTTAAAATGTTCAAAAAGATATAAAAAGTAATCTAAAGCAATAAGGAACAAGAAGAAATTTTTTAAAACCAGGTAGACTTGGAAGAATAGATACAATTTCTAGAAACAAAAAAAGATAGCAATTCAAGCAAAAGAAAATTCAGGCAGAACTGTAGATGATGATAAAAGATCTGGAAGATATGTGGTGCCAATGATGTAACACAAAGAGAGTGGAAAGCTGGAAAGCAGCTGTAGATGTAACTGAGAAGATCTAATATATGCCTATTTGGCACTCTTGGTGTGATATATTTTTAAAATAAAACACAATAGACAAACCATTTTTTTAAAATATATTTTATTGATTTTATACAGAGAGGAAGGGAGAGAGATAGAGAGTTAGAAACATCAATGAGAGAGAATCATCGATCAGCTGCCTCTTGCACACCCCCTACTGGGGATATGCCCGCAACCAAGGTACATGCCCTTGACCGGAATCGAACCTGGGTCCCTTCAGTCCCCAAGCCGACGCTCTATCCATTGAGCCAAACCGGTTTCGGCGACAAACCATTTTTTTAATGATAAATTCAATTCCATCCAGGATTCTTTTTATCAAAAGATACTATCATGGAAGCAAAACAATGAGCCACAAGTGGGGAGAAGGTGTTTCCAGATAACCCGACAAAGGATTAATATTCCACAAATATAAAGGACTCACACAAATCAATAATGAAAACAATAGTTAATCCAGTGGAAAAATGGGCAAAAACAGGGACAGGCATCTGCACAATAAATGGAAAACAGAACACAAGAGAACTATGCAACCCCATTGATGACTAGGAAAACCTAAGTTAAGACCACAAAGAAGTACTTTTTTCTTTTTAATATATTTTATTGATTTTTTTACGGAGAGGAAGGGAGAGGAGAGAGAGAGCTAGAAACATCGATGAGAGAGAGAGAGACATCGACCAGCTGCCTCCTGCACACCCCACACCAAGGATGTGCCGCAACCAATGTACATGCCCTTGACCGGAACCGAACCTGGGCCCTTTCAGTCCTCAGACCGACGCTCTATCCACTGAGCCAAGCCGGTTTGGCAATGAGGTACTTTTTTACACCATTATTAAATTTGGTATTGTTAGGCTTTGGAACCTTTCCCGTTTTTAAAATATGGAACAATGAACTCTCTTATGCTCCCACCAACTACTATTTAAAACAACTTGCCTTTATCCCATGGAGTTGAACTGAATAAGTCCATTCCTATACATAGCTCAGCACAGGATACCCAGCCCTGTGCTTCCATGTAAATACACTGAAATAAAACACCCTGTTGGCCTAGCCAGCATTGCTCAGTGGTTAGCGTCAATCTATGATGCAGGAGGTCACAGTTTGATTCCTGGTCAGGGCACATGCCTGGGTTGCAAGCTCAACCCTCAGCCGGGGGGAGCATGCAGGAGGCAGCCAATCAATGATTCTCTCTCATCATTGATGTTTCTTTTCTATCTCTCTCCCTCTCCCTTTATCTCTGAAATCAATACAAAATATTTTAAAAATAAATAAAAATAAACACATTGTTGTATAATCATCAGATGGAATACTCCTCTGCTGTGAAAATGCATGAAGTACAGCTACAGACATTCATGTGGATAAATCCCATCAACGACGTTGAGTAGAAACATGGCAGAATACTATATTAAACAAGTGGTCCTCAAACTTTCTTATCTTTCCTTCCACTCTTAAAAATTAATGAAGATCCAAATAGTTTTATTTCTTCTATCCATAGAACCTGTAGATGCTCATCGACCAGGGGTTCTCAACTGGGAAGAATGTTGCCCCCCAGGGGGCTTTAGGAAATGTCTGAAAACTCTTTTGGTGTTTATGACTGGGCAGTGGTATACTATTGGCATCTAGTGGGCAGAGACTAGTGATGTGGCTACATATTCTACAATGCACAGCACAGCTTCTAGGAGGAAGCCCCGGAGTGGGTGATTGCTGGGATGCCAAGCTAAGAACAGGGCAGTAATAGGGTGTATTGGATACAAATAATGATGGTTCAAGGAGAGACCTGAGCCATCTTGGTCTAGTAGTGGTTTGTGTGACTTGTGAGCTTGGGTTGGAGTCTTCTCTTTCTTCTTCTTCTTCTTCTTCTTCTTCTTCTTCTTCTTCTTCTTCTTCTTCTTCTTCTTCATATAGATTGAACTGTTTCATCTTTTTTAAATCATAATTCTTTTTAAAATATATTTTATTGATTTCAGAGAGGAAGGGAGAGGGAGAGAGATAGAAACATCAATGATAAGAGAGAATCATTGATCGGCTGCCTCCTGCACGCCCTCACTGAGGATCCAGCCCACAACTCAGTCATATGCCCTGATGGGCAGTTGAACAGGTGACCACCTGGTTCATAGGTCAGTGCTCAACCACTGAGCCACGCTGGCTGGGCTGGAGCTTTTTCTTGACTTCCACTTTCCACCCATCTTCTCTCAGGGTGGAAATGTGCACCTCCGGCCAATTATAGATCCTATCCCACTTGGAAGTGTGTTTTTTTAACCAGTGAGGCCAATAGAATGTCCAGGCCAGAAATAGCCAGCAGGGGTCTCCGTTCTTCAGTCTAAACGCCAACAGCCCGTGAGGAAGTAGCTGCTGAAAGCTCAGGAAGAGGTCAGGGGGCAGTCATTTCCTCCTTCCTCGGTCAGCAGCACAGGCTGCACAGGTCACCCGCGGATTAGCTTTGTGAGCACATCTTGATTTTGATTTAAGACCAAGACTCAAGGAAGACATTTAGGGAAAGTAAGATAAAACCTTCTAAACAGCAGAAAGAGACCCAAGGCAATAAAAAAGAGTTGAGGCAGGATTATAGATGAAAACTCCTTTTGACGCTGTAATCTCGGTTTTTTACAATATTTCCTAAGTGATGGAGAGTGTGCACCCCCTAAAGCAAAGAGGCTGCAGAGCCTCTTGGGCCTGAAACTTTGGGCAACAGCCAGGCTCCCGCCCTGTGCGTGTTCTGTGTGGGAGGAAAGAGTGGCTCCAGCGTGAAGGGCTGGAGTACTTCAAGGAGAACTGGTTTTAACTTCAAATACAGTAGATTATTCTCATTATGAACTTTTAAAAAATATATATTTTATTGATTTTTTACAGAGAGGAAGAGGGAAGGATAGAGAGTTAGAAACATCAATGAGAGAGAATCATCGATCAGCTGCCTCTTGCACACACCCCCTTGACCGGAATCGAACCTGGGACCTTTCAGTCCGCAGGCTGACGCTCTATCCATTGAGCCAAACCGGTTTCAGCTGTTATTATGAACTTAACAGTCATAGCCTCCCCTACTCCCAACCCCAGAGGGTCACGTGACTTGGTAACTATTGATTCATGTACATTTGATTCCTAAACATGCAAGATCCATGTGAGGGGCAAACCCCCAGGAAGAGTAGCCCCTGGGTCTGGCATTTGTCCCCCCGGGGACAGCTCTGTTCTCTTGTTTGTTTGTTTGTTTGTTTGTTTGTTTGTTTGTTTTCAAAGCTCTTGGTGGGGAAGATTACATGGCAGGGCTGTTTATAAACACTTTCTCCTCTCAAACCAAAGGGTCCGTGATGTTTCGGGGAAGCTGCGCGTGGATACTGTCACCAAACAGCTTTCCCCAGGAAGTCAGGGTTCACCCAGGGCCGTGACTGGAAAAGAGGGGGCGCCCCAGGAAAGTCCTCACACTGCCCCTTGCGGTGGCCACGTGACTCTGAGGCTCTCTGCCCAGAAGCCTCTTATCAAATGGAAATAGTGCTGCCTGCTTCTCTTCGAGCAGACTGTCTCACGGTCATGAGACTGTCCGTGCCAATCAAGTAACGGTGGCCACCCTCAGGGACGCGCGTGAGTGCCTCTCAGCACCCTGTGCCAACAGCACGGCCATTCACTGATGGCTGGGTCCTCACACCGAGGCCCCACCGCCAACCACAGTCATCCGGAGCCACTAGCCTCAGCGGGTCCAGGAAGGATACTTCCTTTCGGGGGTGGGCCTGGTAGCCACATAAGCATGTTGCTCTGCTCAAAGCATTCCTCAGATAATTAGCAGCTTAGTCACCGCCAGATTTTTAAGCCAACAGAGTGGAACCCAGCATAAACCCAGAGGTACAGGACGTGCACGTCACAGTGGGAAGCTGCTGACCTGTCTTCCCCCGTTCCTGTCTAGAGCACTAACTACATCGCCGCCCGCCAGCCGCCGAAGAAGTCGGGAATAGCCAGGGTCACCTTCGACTTGTACAAGCTGAGCCCCAAGGACTTCATCGGCTGCCTCAACGTGAAGGCCACCATGTATGAGATGTACTCGGTGTCCTACGACTTCCGGTGTACAGGGCTCAAGGCCCTGGTGAGGTAACAGACTTACTTCGGGGTCAGCTGAGGGGTCTGGAAACTGCACACCACCCGTCCCCAGGCGGCCTGTCCGCCGCTTGCTCCTCTGCCCTCCCAGGCCCTGCCCCTCGGAGGCTCTGACCTGGCCCGTCCCCGATGAAGTTCACTCTAACTCACATTGTCATGCAGTAGTTTAAATCTCACCCCCCTGCCCACCCTCTCCCCTTCGCACACCCAAGGCCTTCAGCATAAGCAAGAGGCTGGAGGGTAGGACATAAGCATCCTCCCAGGAGCACAGTCTGCCTACTCAGCTCTTTCTGGCTGCTGAACAGCATTGGAAGAGGCTGATGGCATGGTAGTCCCAGTCAGCGCCATCAGCATCCCCCGGGAGCACACCAGAAATGCAGAGTTCCAGGTCCTGCTCGGACCTCCCGGGTCCTATAAGTTAGCTAGCCCAGGAGGGATGGACAGGGGAGGGTGGTGGTGTGGAGTGAGCAATGCCTCTCTGGGGGAAAGGGAATGTGAAAAATTCCCAGTCCACCTGTTCTTCACTGGCTCAGACCTCCAAGCTGACGCATGTCCTGTCCCTCCTGTTGCAGGAGCATGCTGCGGTTCCTGTCCCACGCTGCCCAGGCCGTCGGGCACTTCCTCATCTACACAGGCAAGCACATGCTCCAAGCGCTGGGGGACTCGGAGGAGCAGACCTCTCCCGGGCTGCGCTCCAGGCATAAATTCACCATCGGATAGGGCTGCACTGTGAGGCGCTGTGCCGGCCTTGGCGTATCTGTTCCTTTGCAAATGACGAATTTTGAAGACGCTTCTGTTCACTTATGCCTTATACACACATGTACCTGTGGGCTGTCCATCACTTCTGCCCTGGAGTGGTACCCAGGGGAAAGGAGGGGGCCATGCAGCAGGGTGCCCGGAGGAGGAGGGGGGGGAAGGAGGAGGAGGAGGAGAGGGGGCGGTGCCCCCTGTGGGAAGGGAGGGTTAGGAATATCTTGGGTGGCTAAGGAGCAACACCACATGCATTAGGCCCCTTTGACTCCTCACTTCCTGCAATAAACCAATCACAAGAATTACTTTTAATGTGTATAATACTTCCTGGTGTCTCTTTCATCTTCAAAAAAAATAATATTAATAAAACTTTCATTTAGAAGCAAAACTCAGCCAGAAATCTTTTGCTAACAGATATAACCACTTTTTTTTTGGGGGGGGGGGGAGTGTTAATCCTCACTGGAGGATACTTTTTCCATTGATTTTAGAGAGCCTGGAAGGGAGGAGGATGGGGAAGAAAGGAGAGAGAGAGAGAGAAAGAAAGAGAGAGAAAGAGAGAGAGAGAGAGAGAGAGAGAGAGAGAGAGAGAGAGAGAGAGGAACATCAATGTGAGGGAGTCACATCAAATGGTTGCCTCTCCCACGTGCCCCAACCAGGACAGGGAACCTGCAACCCAGGTACAGGCCTTTGACCAAATCGAACCCTTCACCCTTCGGTTCTCAGGCTGATGCTCTACCCACTGAGTCACACCAGCCAAGACAATATAATCACCTTAAAAAAATACTGTTTATGTATTTTTATTGATTTCAGAGAGGAAGGGAGAGGGCGATAGAAACATCAATGAGAATCATTGATCAGCTGCCTCCTGCACACTCCTTACTGGGGATCAAGCCCACAACTCCTGCGAGTGTCCTGACCAGGAATCGAACCTCCTGGTTCATAGGTCAACACTCAGCCACAGAACCAGGCCGGCCGGGCAAAATCACTTTTAAGTCTTTATTAGTACCTGGTGCGGCAGAACACCAGCTGGTGAGCGTTGCTGTGGGTGTGTGACTTTTAATGTAGGTCCTGAGTGAGATCAAAGGGACCCAAAAGCTTAGGGATGGTCTTCAAGCAGCACTTTCAGCCTTCTTCTTAAACAAACAAACAAACAAACAAAACAACTCCCCACCTGGACCTGATGTACGATGCTAGCGGATCATATCTTCACTCCCTCATGTCACTTGTGTTCTCAGTCGGGACCCTCGTTACAAATGACAGAGCTCTGACTGGGGCTGCCCTAACCGGAGGGCAGGGCCCGGAGCTGCAGGCCCAGCCACCGGGCACTCACACAGGGTGGCAGCAATCTTTTCCTCTCCGTTCCCTGAGCTGGCAGCTGGCGGCATTTCCCGCAGGCCCTCCTCCCGCAGAAGCAAGAAGGGGCAGGACGTCCTGGGCTGCTGCCAGGGGACCCTGCAGCTGGTGACACACAGGGACGCACACCGATCCTGCAGACAGGGAAGGCCAGCCCCAACCACACGGGGCTCCCCAAGGAAATGGGGTGCTGCTACTAGCATAAAGGTAGCAGATGCCAGGAAACAAATCTACTCCTGCTCAGATTTGTGGGTTTCCTATGAAGAAATGTTGCCACAGGCCTGCCGGGTTGGCCCAGTGGATGGAGCGTTGGCCTGGGAACTGAAGGATCCCAGGTTCGATTCCTGTCAAGGGCACATTCCTGGGTTGTGGGCTCGGTCCTCAGTGGGGCACTTGCAGGAGGCAGATGATTCATGATTCTCTGTCTTCATGGCTGTTTCTATCTCTCTCAACTCTTCCTCCCTCTCTGAAATAAAAATAAAAAATAAATAAATAAATAATTTTAATGTTGCCACAGGCCTGCTGGTGTGGCTCAGTGGTTGAGCATCGACCAACCTATGAACCAGGAGGTCACAGTTCCATTCCCAGTCAGGGCACATGACAGGGTTGTGGGCTCGATATCCAGTAGGTGGTGTGCAGAAGGCAACGGATCAATGCTTCTCTCATCATTGACGTTTCTCTCTCTCTCTCCCTCTCCCTTCCTCTCTGAAATCAACTAAACAGCACATTTTCTTAAATGTTGCCACAATACCTTTCCCCTTTGCTGGCTGACAGCTCCGACACAGTTAAGACACTACAGGCTGTCCCGAAACCCTAGGGTTCCCTGCACCCCAACCATTTCTGCGGCTCCTGCCCCTGCCACACCTTCCCCAGTGAGCCCAGCTGCTTCCTCCCTGCAAAACCAGCCCGGAGCCCCACTGTCCCGTCCCCCACAGCCCTGGCCGGCTCGGTGCACACCCCCTGCTCCTGGGCTGGCTGGGTGCACTCCGCCCGCGGGCGGGGCAGCGCGGGGACGGGTCCAGGGAGGTGCCCGCGGCTCCCTGCAGCCCGGCTCCCGGGCTGGAGCCCCGGCGCCGAGTTGCTATATAAGGAGCCGCGGGGAGCCCGCCTGGAGCCTCTGAGCCGGGACCCAGGCCGGCCGCGCTCCCTCCCGGGCGGGGCTCCGGCTCCGCTGGCGTCACTTCCCCGGAGCCGCATCCCGGCCGGGCCGCCGGCTTCCAAAAAAGGAAATTTCCCCGAAACCGCCGGCCTGACTCACCGCCCCCCCCTCCCCACGTCTGCGCTTCCCGCGGGGTCCGGGCCCAGGCCGCCGGGGGGGGGGGGGGGGGGTGAAAGGAGAATGTGCGGGAGTCGAACTCCCGTTAGGGGAATTAGTTAATTAGTTCCGAAGGACTTCAAATCTGGGGGCTCCCGAGCCCGAGCCCGAGCCAGCCTGGGGGTGAAGGAGAAGGGGGAGGAGGGAGGGGAAAGGAGATGGTGGGGGAGGGGGAGGGAGATGGTGGGGGGCGGGGAGGCCCCTCCAGACTCTGCCCGCGGGGCGCCAGTTTCCCGGGCACAGGGCCAGGCGGAGAGGATGCGAAGGCTGGTCCTGCGGCACCAAAGGCTTTGGGGAGCCTCCCGAGGCCCCGGATGGGGGGACACGGGCAGACCTGAAACCTGCCCCATGGCAGGAAGGGTCCCGGCGGGTGCTGCTGCCCCCCTCCCGCCTCTGGTTCAGATTAGGCGGGTGCATTCCAAACGTGACACTCTCTGGTGCTAATCTTAGCTTCCCTGCAACCCACATTCAGCCAGTGGCTCAGAGGGAGGGTGGGCCTTGGCTGGGGATGGGGAGGGTAAGGGGGAGGCCAACGGGGAGGGGGCGGGGCTGGCTTCAGCTGCAGGCTCACCAGCTGGGCCGCCAGGCGGATCGGATCCGAGAAGGCGCTGGGGCTGGTAGGTGGCAATAGCTGAGTCCTCCGCTGAGTCCGCGCTGGCGGCATGTCCCTTTCCAGGCCCTGGAGAGGCCAAGTTCCAGAGCTCCACTTCATTGGCTTCCGGGGTCGTCATTCAGAAAACACGGAATTGTCCCCATGAGCTCGGTGTTCGTGACCTTCCAGGTCTGGCTGCTCCTAGATGGTTACCGGTGCCCCCACATCTCCCGGTGTGGGCTAGATTCAGGGTCACGTTCGGTCGTGAGCAGGGCACCGAGGACTGGCCTGGCAAGAGCTAAGGGTGTTAAGAATGAGATCTTCTAAAAGCCATTACCTGCCCTGCTGGTTTGGCTCAGTGGATAGGGCATCAGCCTGCGGACTGAAGGTTCCTGGGTTCGATCCCTAGTGGTGCAGGAGGTACCCAATCAATGATTCCCATCATTGATGTTTCTATTGCTCTCTCCCTCTTTCTTCTTCTCTGAAATCAATTATAAATAAATAAATTATATATATATATATATATATATATATATATATATATATATATATATATAAAATAAAAGCCATTACCTCATGGCCAAAGACAGACTCTGGTTAAAATCATCCTGAACAGACTTCCCTGCTACAAGTCTCCTCCTCCATCTATCAAATTAGGATCAAAATAAAGTGGTTCAGGAATTCCATCCCCAGATAGGTTTTCTCAGCACCGTTTCAAAAAATGTAAACAGAGTAGAGTGCCTTTGCCAGCCTGGCACTCTTCAGCTCTCCACAATTCCCCTCTCCTCCAGCCTGGAGGCCTCTGCCACCTGGGTGGCCCGGGGCCCCAAGCCAATGGCATTGCTGTGCCTTTCTCAGAGGAGAATCAGGAAAACTGGGATCCAGTTCCTCAAGGGACGCTCTCCTTCCCCTCACCTGGGGCAGCTGCTACTGGTTTTTTTCCTTCACAGAGACTTAAGGAGGGCATGTCCACCCTTCAGAGTTGCCCCTCTCACAGAGCCACACCCGGCCCTGCCTGTCCGTGGCCCCCTGGGGGCACGGGGCTCCCCTCCTTCAGTGCCTGCACCTGCGGGCCTGTGGCCTTTCTCCAGGGAGGGGCCCAGCCCAGGAACCAGCCACAGAAGGCGACCCTCCTAAGCTGAGGAGTGCTGCTCCACTCAGGGCGGCTATCCTCTGAGGTAAACAGCTCATTTCTGAAGAAAACTTTGGGCCTTGGCCAGATAGCTCAGTGGGTTAGAGCGTCGTCCTGATACACCAAGGCACATACAAGGGTCAACCAATGAATGCATAGATAAGTGGAACAACACATCAATGTCTGTCTGTCTGTCTCTCTCTCTCTTCCCTCCCCCCCTTTCTCTGTCTCTAAAATCAATTTGGGGCTGAAACCACTTTGGCTCAGTGGATAGAGCATCGGCCTGTGGACTGAAGTGTCCCGGGTTCGATTCTGGTCAAGGGCATGTACCTTAGTTGCGGGCACATCCCCAGTGGAGGGTGTGCAGGTCGATGTTTCTCTCTCATCAGTGCCTTTGGCTCTCTGTCCTTCTCCCTTCCTCTCTGTGGAGAATCAATAAAATTTATTTTTTTAAAAATTTTTGTTTAAAAATAAATAAAATCAATTTGGGGAAAAAGAAGAAAGAAAACTTTGGGTGGCATCCCCTCTCCTCTCTGTCACCTTTCTCTTTCAGGCCTCCTGTTTCTTGCTACAATAAC